GGGCTCGTCAGCACTGTGTAGCGAAGATATGTAACGCCAGCCCAAAAGCCAACGCACATAAATTGCAAAAATGACCCGTGCACTAAGAAACTAATGCTGCGAGGGTGTGTTTTGAGCCGATTTTCTCGAGTGTCCAAGCTGAACTTTTGGGAGCGAAATTGCTCAATATTATGGCTAAGATCGTGCATTAAGATATTATTATATAACAATATGTACGAAACTGAATCAGTAAATTAAACTCTTTGTTATATATACTGTGATGAGTTGAGATGAATGTGATGAATTGAGACTAGCCAATTTTCAGCCAATCAGTGTGTGCGCGCAATATCGTGGTGTATAAAAATAAATATCCATTTTTCCACCAGTTTATGTGGACATTAGATTAGAAGCGTTAAAAACTTCTGTGTTGAGTAATACTTGCATCAATAGATAAGTTTTGAGATAATTTTGGGCTGATGCACTGAATGTATTTATTCAACCACATTCAAAAAGCTTATTTTTCCCGTCAAAGATAAGTTATAAAACATAACGTGAATTTACGACTGAAGATTTCTCTTGTTTTATTCTTTTTCTCTTCTGACGTCAATAAATTGATCGCCAGCCGAGCATGTCACGTATCACAATATAGCGGAGGAAACGGAGGCTTAGCGGACCTTCGATATTCTATTGATAGTTACATTACTTATTGTAGCGAATTTGCACGTGATACGAACATCCGGGCATCCAACGTCAATGTACGTGTAAGGCGCATGTCACTGAGCCTCATTCAAAAATAGTTACATTCCATATATAGTCACTCATTTTAAAACTTTACGATACTTCGAAACATCACGATAGATACCGGGTTAATTAGAATCACGAGTCAAACACCTGACGCTCCATAATAAGTCAGCTGTCTAGCTCTCAAAAAAATAATAATAATAATAATAATAAAATAACAAAGAATCAGTCCATCTTTTGTTTTATTAAAGTACTATTGTTAGAATTATTAGAATAAAGCACTAAATGACCACGTCCTTAATTTTGCTGGTGCATGCAAAGATCTAGCTGTCAACTGAAGAAACTTTGTAACGTAAATTGCAAATCTCCATAGCGGTTTGTCTAGACCATGTGAGCGTGTGTTGTTCAATCGGTTTCGAAGGCAAAATATAAATATTTCCATGAGCATTGTATAACTTCACTCAAGCCGTGTCAAATCTTTGTTTCCCGTACTGGCATATGCTAGAGAGATTCTCTAACACCACGGAATACATAGACTGGTATGTATAGCAGTAGTTAACCGTATACATACTCTTTATCATGAAAAGCACTTATAGTACCCTGTTGTTGTGACGGCCATCTCCAGCAAGAGCGAGAGAAGATTGACAATCGGTTTTTCACTGACAGAGAAACTAGTTGCAGCTAGTTGTTGATATGGGGAATAAAACTTATTTAAAGCGTCCAAACAAATCAAAGAAGGAATTTTCACAGCTTCAAGTTGATCTGATGTAAAGCGTTATAACCGAAACGGAACGCGAAACCCCAGAACTGTAAGTTGAAGTATTCGCAATGGTGTATGAATAGGAAATTGGCCGTCTGGCCTTTTAATTTTGGGCCGATAGTAACGTAGTCTCCTTCGCAGCCGTTTTTTGGAATGTCACGAGCGTTCCGTGACATCCCAAAAAAACGGCTGCCAAGGAGACTAATAGTAACGCCAACAAGGATCCTTGCTATGTTGGGTTACGTAAAACGCTTTTTTTTTTTTTTTTTTGACCGGAACTAATTAGAAAATATAAACGTGAAACCACAAAAATGCCTCATACTAGCACTTCTGATCAAAACTCCGCTCTTTTTTTCAAAAAAAAAAAAGACGGATTGACGTCAAAGACGAACAGGAACAAGACGATTTTGAGGGATTGACTGTGGAGGTATTTCCTGAAAAAATTCTAGCTACGCTTGTCAACTTAATTAATTATCAGAACAAGGAAAATGCTACATTGAACAACGGGAAAAACACTAAGATAACTTTAGATTACTTTAAGTCCAGGATGTGATGTCACAAGCTGAAGAGCACCGTTTATACTACTATGTACTACAGGTAGTGATAAACAAAAAATATGCCTTGATTCAAACCTCATTGCATAGATAATCTTGGGACAGCGCTCATTTAATATTAATAGGTAAGCTGATGAAATCATTCTTAAGTAAGCTTGATGAAGAAAACGTAACTGGTGTAATAAAGCTTTCGATGAGAAACGACTAAAATTAATCAACGGAGAAGCGATTTTAACACTGAGACAGAGGTCCGGCGATACTCTACAACTAACTCAAAGGGAAGTCTGTTTGTCCATACACCAGGCACGTAGCCAAATCAAATATAAACAACTTGTACCTGCATTGCGTCTGAAACGTTTGTTTGAAAACTGAAGGGTAAGATCCAAGGTTAAACTAAACATTTCCTGGTTCCTTACAATTCTCGGACGCGTGCGCGCGAGTCTACTTTTGTAGAGGTCGTTGCAGCGAAGAATCAGCGAATGATACAGTAGCTAGGAGATGTTCTATAACAGTTGACTTCGGTTATATTTGAATCCCGGGCATTTTATTCATTCATATTGCTGTCAAATCTATACGTTATCAATACAACCGATCAGTGGTGGTGCTTTTTCGCCTTGATTGCCGGAAATGCTGACTTAGAAATACATGAATTTTCCGCCGTTTGCTTTCGTCAGCTACACTGTTAGAACAGAAAAAATGCATAGATTGCAAAGTTCCATACACCCAAATCTATTAATAGCACTTTCCAATAAAATCAAGGTGTTGTTGACATTGCAAGTAAATAATCAAGATCTGAAGAAGCGACCAGTTCACGATTCCTCTGCTAAAAAGATCGCATGCACACCACTAATGCCACAGAACGTCTGGTCTGTGATTTGACTGACGAGGAACTAAAGGTATGTTCTTTAACAGATCTATTTGCTCCTAAGACTAACTTCAGTACAGTACTGGCAATACCATTTTCCCCTTATTTTAATAGCAGTTCAATATTCTCTCTCGATAACAGCAAATCTTCAACGTACTTAGTTATTTATTAGTAACTAATGCGCTGTAGAAATTACTCAATTCTGAAAGGTTTTTAATTTACCTGCCGCCGAAGAAATTGAAAATTGTAGTCGCCTTTTTTGCAATAAGAGAGTTTTCGCTTGACCTGCAGCTAAATTAATATACGCGCCAGGCTTAGAAGACTATTGTAGCTAAGACTGTGCCAAGAGTCAGACAACGTTTTAATTACGAGTTTATACGCGACACGTGATGAGGGCAAAGTTAGCGGGTAACGCGTTAAAAGCAACCAAAAGACATACCGGTACGTGATTCGTGAATTTATGGTAAAAACCGTTATTAAGCTAAAAGTATGTGTGGCGCGTGAATTTTGTCAAATTTTCTCAAACTCTTGAGTGAAACGGGATCACAAGCCTCCCTCGTCCTGCTAGTCTTGATTTCTTGAACAAACTAGTATGCCGTACGTGTATCTACCGATACCTAAATTCGCAACTAGCCATTCAGAAGCCGTGTCAGAACTGTCCTGATATCCTGCTATATTACGTAACTGGCCTGATGTGACTACGAACTCTCGGCCGAATTTGGGTACGGTGAATACGTACCTAATTATTCCATTTTTGGCTCGCTCTGGCGGCATTGTATCTGGCAATGGGTATTTTGGCTGGAGTGTGTCTAGTCCAATTTGCCTGCCTGATATGCCGTCGAAACGTTCCAAATAAGGTATGATTAAGAAAAAGTTTTATGACCAAAACTTTCACGGTCACAAGTCAAAAATGCGCACACTAGAGATCTGCAGATTCACCTGCTCGGTACAACTATCAATAGAAAATCACTGAAATCACCAATAGCTTATCCTTTGAAACATGTAACTATGCTAACTAATGAACGAGTCATGAGGTAATATAACGAAAGTGAAAGACTTTAGCTTTGTTTATCTAATCCTGGAGGTTTAAAAATGTCAAAAATCGCAAGAATTTTCATAGTACATTGAGAACTAACAGAACGAGTTGACTTAAAATACCACACCTGCATGTTGTACAATGGCCACAGTCGTTCATAAGAGTGTTCATGAGCCCAAAGCGTCAGATCGACACCTAACAAGTGAATAGAGATTATCATGACAAACACACTGAACAAGTTGAGACAAGTTCTACTATACATTGAAACCCCGCCTTACTGTCATCTCGTTAGTATGGCTACTTTATTCTGGCCCAAACGAAAGCTCATTTTGTCATTTTCTGTTTTTAAAGAGCCCCTTAATACAGCCACCTCATTAATATGGCCAGATTGTTGATGTCCATTGGTGACCCGATTAACGGGGTCCACTGTACTGAGTTATTCACATGTTTGTTACTCATCAAGGCACACCACAGCTGGCCCAAGCTCAAGTTTTAAGCAATGATGCATTATAGCTGTCACGGCAAAAATATAAAACTTAGTATATGGGAATATTTACGACCAGTTTTAGGAGGTAGTAATATAGAAAGCTCTTTAAAGGGATAGCTTATCTTTCTTCCACAGTGTATTGCTTGCTGCCTGACACTGTTTCTGCTGATTTAAGGCGACTTTAGCTTCCTAGCTTTCCCAGTGTTTCTCTTTCTTTTAAAGAGTTGGAAACCTCTCTAGTATCTCTAGTATTTCTACCTTATGAAACCAATTGTAAATAATCCCATTTTTGCCATGATTCCCATTACCGAGATGATCATCGCTCAAAGCTTGAGCTTGGGCTGCTTGTGAGCACAAAACTATCACATTGATCTCCGGTCTCCTCCTTACCATACTTGTAAAACAAGTCTTCCAAACCAAACAAATGTTTTGATGTGATTCCTTTGCGTATCTAAAAAATACAATAAAAGAAGAGTTAACTGGACTTGATTAAGGCGGCTGGAAACAGTTTCCAGCACTTTCCCAACAGCTACACGAGCATCAATACCACCACTCTTTATCTTTTATGGTATCACACAAATGCCCAGCAATAATTATTGGTGAACCAATAATGGTAATCTTTATGGCATAATCGATTACTGTAGCAACAGACAGTAAAATACCTCAATTTTAGCTTTAAGTGCCTTATAATTGAAAAACTAGCTCAGTGACCCCCATTTTCAATATCGAATTGTGACAAGCATAAGATCTAACGTTTTGCCAAGTTTAAATATATTCTGTGCAGGGCATTCAGAGCCACCTTAACTTTTTTGAAAACTTTTCTGTTTGACCCTACCTCACCTCCAATAACCAAGCAGGATTCACCAAGAGCAGCAAGTATAGGAATTGTGAACTAATGCTATGAAAATAAGGTTAGCTTCAGCCTGGTTTTCCTTACTGATGCAAACAGTCAACATTGAAATTTTTGCCACTTTTCACACATACTAGACTCCTTCTAGGGTAACATTTACTTGCATTGTTGATAGGAAAAACCTAGAGTAAAGAGAAGTGAAGCAACATACCACACGGTTAGTTTTGATGCAGTATTCGCCATCATTATTATCACAGTACATTGGTTTATGACCCATTGTGATAATCCATGGACGCAACTTGCGGTTTTCAGGTGACGCTGCTTCCTACAAATTTATAACGTGAAAAGACATCTATTTCATATCAACATGTTTTCTCAGCTTTGCTATTGAATTTGATGACTATTTGACATCTAGGAAATTGAAGAGGGAAAAGTCGTTTTCAATTTGGAAGAAACCAGAGCAAAATCTACCAAACTGTACAGACAAATACAGTACTGTAGCTAACCTGCAGGTCTTTTTTCAGAAAATCATACTGCTGAACAATTTGTTCAATTCCATAATTTAACCAGTAGTAGACTTCTGTTGAAAAACTAATGACGTGTGCGGGCCCAATGTTCCAACTACACCAGGAAAAATAAAAGACAGTCAGAAAAGAGATACTGGTAAATGCGAAATACAGACTAAATATTAATAATGAGATATTAGAAAATATTAACTACTTACTAACTGAGAGTGAGGCCTTTACACGAAATCTCAAACTAAGACCTTGCCGTATTGACCAAGTGATAGCAAGGTCAATACGGCAAGGTCAAGGTTTAAGATTTTCCCGTAAAGACTGAACGTTCGAGGTTAATAAGTTGTTCATTATATGGCTTTTTGCTTTGTTTTTGCATGCCTGTAATCGAACTGTGGGTATTATGGAAGAATGCCCTGGAATCAGAGTGTGTGAGCCAATCAGAGTGCATGTTATATCAGCCACAAGCACAAGCCATATAATATATATCAATAATATACATGTAATATTATTATATGGCAAGATATTCTTGA